AACACGGGCCTTGGTGCGCAGCTATCACCCCATCAGCTCCATTTGTACTCCACTGACACAGGAGATAAAAGTTTATTTTCTGAAACATCTGTGTTTCATTGTCCAAACTGCTTCCCCCCTCCCCCTTGCCTAAATTTTGTACTGATAATGAAAGTCTTCTGGAATTCTGTCACTCAGCAATTGCTTTTAATATTCTCTAACACTGTATTAAACAATACCACTGTAGTATTATTAGCCTTCTCTTTTTAGGGTCTAGCCTACCAAAATCCGTAAGCATAATCTTACCTTTCAGCCTTTCCCTAGTATTACTTTAGTTCTTTCTTTAAGGTGCCATGTCTTGCTGTGTGTGGGACTGCTCAGTAAGACTGAATACTCATTCAGCTCAAAATGATCATGCAACCATCCCCACATTTATGATTCCGGGCCTGCCACAGATATCAATTTCTATTTACTACGCATTACTGTAAGCAGAACACCGAAAATTTTATACCTATTTGCAGCACTAACATGTTAAAATGCCCCAAATGCCATTTTGCAATCACTGCAGGCAGATGCTTTTTAATAGTGTTATTCACATATGAGGATTATCAGATAACTCGCAAAGCTGCAGCTCAAGTAGGTGCTAATTCAAAGGAAAATAAAGGCACTGGGCAGGAGGAAGACAGGAACAGGAGGCCAGAAAACAGCACATTTGTATTCAGAAGGCAGTAAATACACCTTTGAAACAGCTGCTGTGGCACTGTCACTTTAAAGCTTGTGTCCTCCTCCCAGCATGGAACGCTCTCCCTACCTGCTGTACACAGACGCACTGCTACACACACTGCTCTCCATACCCTGGTTTACCTGCTTGGAGCTCCTTTATTGTCCAGACCAACGTAACAAAACCCACGCAGCCCCACACAAGCCTTCTACCCAAATCTACTTCTTGCCTCCCCAGCAGTATGAGGCCAGATTTCCATTCAGTAATGGCACCAGGCATTTACCAGGGCACGCTCTTATTTTATTGAGGTCATTCCAGATTTTTTCTTCCTCTCTCTACAGCTGCATTAACAGCTTCCTTCCTATTTTTAAATCAGTAGCTAATTTCAGCAACTAAGTGCTTATTGTTTTTTTCAGGGTCACTCATAAAACAAACACCATTATTGATCTTTCTGAATCCACCACCAATTTTTCCCTTTTATCTCATCTGAGTGTCTATTCAATGGGCAATTTCTCAATGGTACAGGACATCCATCCTGGATAAATCAGGGTATCCAAAGAAAGAGATCTTTCTGTCCATGTGTGCTAATACAACTCCTATTGCAGCAGTAGCCAAGCAACTCATAAGTGTTATTGGTTTTTGTCTCCACAACATCTTTTTAGAGGGAAAAGTGCTATTACTTGTCCTTTAAAACAGGGGAACCAAGACAGAGAGGGATGTCGTCCCTCAGAGGCAAAGACAGTTTACAAAATGTAGAATGAAATGAATCCTTTTTCTCCTATATCTTAACCACATCAGCATCTTCCCTCTATTTCCATACGTACCCTAGACACACGGTTGCTTATTTGTTGGATTGCAGGACCTGGATTGTTGAATTACTGATGACCTGGCCAGTTGGTATTTATCACACATTTTTAATCAGTATCTGAAGACAAATGACATCACAGGTGAACATGAAAAAACCTGTTAGACCAAACTGCTGCAGTCCTTTATCCGCTCTGACTATTAAGGTTCAATACAATTCTTGGAGCATGATTCAATGTAATTCTTGGAGCATAAGCCCTAAACCTACTCACTGTCCCACAGTTAAGCTAAAGGACATTCTGGCTTTGCCCCAAAGAACACGATACCAAAATGAAAAGCAGCCCTTCCAGGTGGTAGGACCCAAGTGACATCTTCCACATACGGCTCTCTAAAAGCATCTCTGAAGACAGTGCACTTACTCACCAATCCTACTTTAACAAGATATGCAAAGATAGAAGATTTACTGGCCATTACCATTTCTGCTAAGTGTAGCAGATTTGGTCCTTTTCAAATTAATCCTAGATTGATTCACAAAGAAACATTAAATGCAGTTTGACTGCTATAATAACGCACCATCAATCATTAGACAAAATTTTTCAATGGTCCCTCTGTGTATCATCACTATTTGGCCACTTTCTTTAAGATTTCTCTCTCTTTTCCTACAGCAGTGAAAGACAGCCTTGTTCTTGCTGACCAACACACCCCCAAAGAGAGGGTGGAGAGCTAACGGCCTAGGACCAGACTGCTGCCTATGCTGGATGTGTCTGTAGCGTTGTGCCACTTGGGGTTGGCTGTGCTCACAAGCATTAAACCTAATGAGACAAGAGAACTGAGCGAGGCCCAGGTCCATTCCAGCTCCTGGAAGTTGAGCCAGCTTTTCTGCATGACAGTACCCATGGACATGGAAACACATGGTCCACTAAGATCCAGGACAGTCGTGCCTGTGCGCTTCATTATAGGGAAGGCCTTCTTGTCCTGCTTTAGCACTTCTCAGCTCTATTAAACACAGTTTGAGAAGTATGTTTCTGCACAGGAAATTCCTGCCAAAGGCTCCACAGATACAAAGTACTACATGGTAGAGAAAACAACACTGCCATTTTAATATATTGTGACTTAAGCTGGTATATTAGCAGTGAAATTGGTTGATTTTCACATTAAAATACAAAGACCATACATGTCAGTTGTGTAATGAACAAAGAAGCAGGTAGCAAAAACTCAAAGATTTTGGAGAATGTAATCCCCTGGAAAAAGGGCATTCAGTTAATCAGAATACCTGTCTCAACTTAGACAATTCTTCTCTTGTCATTCACATATCATAATGCTTTCTGGAAACAAAACGAAGACCAATGTCATCACCAGGATTTCCCTTCACATAAGGAAGGGCATATGAGGCAAAACCTGGCTACAAAAATGAGGTACAGTTCCAGTAAGGACAGCACAAAGAGGATTTTTAGCGGGTAACACATTAGCATCAGGCAGATATCAGCCTGGTCTCGCATGAAGTTGTATGTCACTGCACTGCATGCAACAGGAGCAGCACATTCAGAGACCCTTGACATCCAGGCCAACTACACCAATGCCCCCAGCCTGCCAGATGATCAACTCTGGGGTCTCTGCAGTTTCCACCTCAGCTTGCTAAATCATATTCAAACGAGAGACTGCTTTATCTTCACTTGAACTCCACATCCTGTTAGTTTGCACAAAGGAAGTGAGTTACATTAACAGCACACCTATTTTTTCCTAATGAAGATATACTTTCTTGGATATTACTGTCACTCATATACCTATTTAGACACCTAGTCCTAGGCTATGGCCGGTTGTGTGGTGTATAATTATTCTATTTAAAGGAAACAACTCTCATTGAAACAAAAGGGCCCATTCTGCTACTAGGTAAACAAATGGGAATACATCAGAGGCTCAAAAAGGAAAGGGATTAACATACTTCCATGTGGCAATGGTCTCAACTGTTCCAATTAAAACTTTCACAATAAATTAAAGCATGACAGAGGTAAGAATGAAGTCAATTTTCTGTGGATCGTGCTATTCCACTGGCATAAATTGCCATTATTAGGTAGTATATTCAGCAATCAGTATAATGATAGAGTAACAAGACCACAACCCAGTGTTGATTGAGTTTAGCCTTTTGCATGCTAATTTTGGTCTGCTCTGCCAAAATAATTGAATGTACCACCTTATTTAAACACCTCTAGATAATTAGCACCCTCTCTCTATTCCTCCTTCACCAACCTTTGCTTAAGCCCGTGGTGATGGCCTTCACTCCTTGTAGTGTTGGATGTCCAACACCACTTGGCCGCTCCCCCAGCTGTGCTCACAGCCTTTCCATTCACTTTCCACCACTTACACTCATCCTCTCCCAGAGCTCTCTTCTCAAGGGTAATGCTAGATGTCAGCCCATCTTGATCCCGCCCTTCTCTGTTGTACACAACACTTCACTGCTTCCATGCTCTCATAGCCTAGAACCACCAGCGACTTTCTTTGACTAGAAAATGAAGGCGCCAACTACCGTGGGATTGCCCCAGAAAGGTTGAAGAGGACAACAAATAAATAGACTCCCACTGCTCGATGCCTGCTAACAAGTTCAAACAACACATTACGCAATGAGTAAACACAATAGTGACCAAAACTGAGGGAAGGGACAGCCTTGTGTGCGTGCCATGCTACCAGACCCCCCTGGAGAAAGCTCTGCTCCGCATTACTGAGGCTGCACCACATACGGATGTCTCAATACAATGGGGCGCTTATCTGGCTGCCAAATGCCCGCCATGCTCTCCCACCTCCGTTCCATCACAGCAGCACCAAGTAAAAGGTGACAAAGGGCTAGAGAAGAAAGTCAAGGCAGCGTCAGACAAGGTGAAGCCGGACGATGGGCTGGAGGCACCCGCAGACCCGCGTGCGGAGGGCCCGAGGGGCCGCGTGTGTGACACCCCGCGGGGCGGCCAGGCCCCGCCGCACCGCACCGCACCGCCCCTCGCAGGGCCGCGGCGCCCCAGGGCTGTGCCCACCGCCCCGAGCACCTGAGCGCAGGCCCCGTCCCCGCGGGCGTCCCCGGCCCTCCCCCGCCCGCTCTGGGCCGCGCCGGGCCTGGGGCCCCGTGCCCCGGGGGGAGCCGGGGGGGCCGGGGCGAGGGAGGGCGTATAATAAACAGCATCGCTGTCACGCAGGCAGGGCTGCCGGCTCCCAAAGCCGCCTCCCCGCGATAACAATCCAGGTACAGCCCGCGCTCGCCCCCCTCCCTCCCTCTTCCTCTTCCTCCACCTCCTCCTCCTCCTCCCGGGGGGCCGGGGAGAAATCCGCAGATCAAAGAAAAGATGCACAACAATAGCGGGGTGGGCGCGCACCGTCGCCCCCCGTCCGGCGGGGCCGGGGCCGGGGCCTCGGGCGGAGGTTCGCGGCGGCCCGGCCGCGGCCGCCCCGCGGGAGGGCGAGGGGAGCGGCGGCGGCCCGGGGGACCGGGAGCCCCCGCCGCGGTACTCACCCGGGCCGGCCAGTGCGGGTACCCCTTCATTTTGGCGAACACCAGGTCTCCAGCCTTGTATTCTCGGGGCCGCGGACGAGCCATCGGGAGCCGCCGCGGGAGCCGCCGTCCCCCCCACCCACCCACCCACCCTCCCACACCCCCCGCGCCCCGCACACGCCGCCCGGGGGCAGCCGGCCGAGCCCCCGCGGGGTGCGATGCGGCGGGGCGCAGCCGGGAGCGGGGCCGGGCCGCGGGCAATCCCCGAGCTCTCCGGCGGCGGCGGCGGCGGGAGGAGATGGGGTGTGTGTGAGTGTGAGTGTGTGTGTGTGAGTGTGTGTGTGTGTGAGTGTGTACGCGGGGGAGGGGGAGGCCTTGGACACAACCCCAGCAGCCCCCGGTACAGGGAGCCGGCTGGCGGCGGGGCGCCTGGCCGGGCGGGGGCGGCCGGGGAGCCCTCACCCCGCGGCGGCGGGCGGGCGCGGCGCTGCCCGCGGCCCCCCCGTGCGAGCTGCTACGCCGC